CTGCCTCCGAGTATGGATCCATTTGCATAGTTAAAGGGAAAGAGAACAAGCACTTAATATTTATTTTGTTTTGCACATCAATTTACTCTTGAGAGAGTGTGTGTGTGTGTGTGAGAGAGAGAGAGAGAGAGAGAGAGAGAGAGAGAGAGAATTTAAATTATTTGAGCTCTAGATAGCATCTGTTTCAAAAGGTGGATGTACGAGTAAGGACTCTCAGGTTTATAAGGCTGCAGCTCACCAGTGTATTATATTATGTCATCTCTGGAAAAAATAACCAGTTGCAAAAGAACTCGTAACAAGCTATGCCAATGAACTTGAAGGTTTATAGGGCACAACTCAAAATGCCTATTCAAAATAGGCCTAAATCAAATGATTCCAATCTTAGGTCTAAAACCCATTAAAAAAGAATCCCACCAAGCATTATCCAATAAAACATTGCGTTTAGCATTTGAATCTTATATGATGTAAGTTTAGCAAATATCTCCTATAACTAATCTTTTCCCATATGGTATTTAAATTGCCAAGCATGTAACTATATTTTGGACAAAAGCCAACTCAACAACTTGTACAGGATTGCAGGTATTTATAACCAAACCAAAACTAAGCTTTGTGTTCCAATTAAGTGGGGTCAGCTACATGAACTTGTTTCATCATTCTGCTCTATCAAGGATATGTTACATAGACTCTTCAATATAAATTAAATATTCGTGTCGAACATCCGGCATTTGGATAAGGGTATGAGATATCTATTGACACTTAAATATTTGCATTAACTCCATTTTATCGCACATAATATATTCGTATTAACACCATTTTATCTCATACTTATATATTTGTGTGTAAATTATAAATTTGGGAAAGAATTAGGAAATCAATAAAAAAGGCGAGAGAAATCAAGAAAAAAAAGTAAATTATTTTGATTTTACATTTTTCTTTGTTCTTTCAACAGCATGATTGCTGCTAAAACGGATCCTAAATAAATGAATCTAAAACGAAACCCATACATACCTGTAGACACCCCATTTTTTACCGCCCTAAGACTTGGGCGCCACTGATTGATCACTTGATGATGAAAGTTGTGCTGCATAAATATTCGATTTCTTCAGCAAGAAGAGTTCTAAATCCCAACCTTACACCCCATTTTGGACCAAAACGATTTGATGTAGTTCAAGATTTTAAGATTTTTTATATTTTTAGTTTTAATATTTTTGGTTTCTTAATTTTATTATTTTGGAATTAGATTTTGACTAGGATTTTAAATAGTTTAGAATTCTAGTTTCCTATTCTCTAAGGTTTCCTAATTTGTGTTGATTTAAGTTTCTAAGCTAATTTTAGAATTACTTTTCCTACAAGTATTAGGTTTAGTTTATTATAAATAGCTATATAAGCCTCATGGCAAAGACAACTTTTATTCATTCAATCAATAATATTAAGATATTTTCTCTTCTTTGTGGATTCAAAGTTCTATTTTTCTCGTAAATTCGAGAGCCCTTTTTGTCTATTAGAACGATATCTAGTCCCACACGGAAGAGAAAATACCTTAATATTATTGATTGAATGAATAAAAGTGTCTTTTCCATGAGGCTTACATAGCTATTTATAATACACTAAACTTAATACTTGTAGGAAAAGTAATTCTAAAATAAAATAGGAAACTTAAATCAGCACAAATTAGGAAACCTTAGAGAATAGGAAACTAGAATTCTAAACTATTTAAAATCCTAGTCAAATCTAATTCCAAAATAATAAAATTAAAAAACCTAATAATTCTAAATTATTTACGCTAAATTACAAGAATCTTAATAAGATAATATATCAAAAATATTAAAACTAAAAATGTAAAAATTCTTAAAATCTTGTCCTACATCAGACTCCTCTTCTTTGAAAGAACTCGCCCTTGAGTTCATATTAGAGATCTACCATCTTCCATGCCAAATAAAGAGATATTTTGAATATTTCAGTTGTTTGTCCCTCTTCCAAAAATTATATGCAGAGAAATCTACTTTCTGACAGTTATTCTCTATATGCTTCAACTGGTTGATAAGATCAATTATACAAGCATTGAAAATCAAATTAAATTGCTCCACACCAAGAAAATCAACAAAGTGTATTTTATGGTGATGTTGGATACTCTTTGGACTCTGCTTTGTCTTAAATTCAGTTGGACATTCAATTATCAATCTTGGAATATCAATTGCATCCTCAATCAACTTCTCTGGTGCACATGTCAACTTTATTACCTCATCTTTTATTTCTTCATTTTCATTGAGTTCAACTAGATCTCATTCTTTTGCGATCTTATAACCATCATAATAATCAAGAGATGATAGTTCTGTCATTAGAAGCTCTTGGCTAACTTCAATGTTTTTCTCTTGCTTCACCTCTTCATTGTCTTCTTCAAATTTTTTAATCAAAGTAATTTCAGTGACCTCTCTTTCATCAATTTCAACGTTCTCACCATTCTTGAAATCAACTTGATTTTCTACTTCAATTGAATGTCCATTTGGGTCTTCAAAATTTTGAAACATTGAGGTACTCAAAATCTTTTCTTCTTCAATGTGTGGTTGAGTGTGACAAATTTGTTGACCTACAAGACTTGATTGACCCAAACTTCGTAGAACCATAGTCATGTTCCTCGAATAATCTATATCCACAATTGCATAATAATTATTGAATTGCGAAGAATATTGTGAATCAGAATTACCTTGGAACAATTGTTTCTGTTAGGTTTTTGTTCTTGGCAACCCCGTTTGACAAAACTCCTTTCAGTTGTACTTGTTTTCACACTTTTATTTCAGTGAGGCTATGAGTTTATTAGATGCGAATCCAACCCGAATCGTGCCTTGCAGAGAAGTTTTGTGATGTTAATTCTTTCAAGATTGCCACTTCGCTAATTATGACGGGGATCGAGCTGCATGGTTAGCTCGCGGGGGTCCAAGGGGCAGGGCCCCCCAAGCAAAATGCAAAATTACATTCGAAGTTACATGTCCTCCCTTGCTCGCTCAAGCGAAGGAGTGCTCGCTCGAGCGAAGGCTGCGTCTGGCAAAAAACCTGAGAAGGATGAATGTACGCTCGAGCGCAGGTTGTTTGGTTCGAGCGAAGCCACTTGTGGAAAACACACGTTTTTGGTTCCTCGCTGGAGCGAGAGAAGCTTCGCTCGAGCGAGCTTCGCAGTCCCAGATTTCTATAAGTATTTGTTTTAGTCCTAAACTAGGATTACTGCTCCAGATCTTCTTTTTGGATATTAAGGTTTATATCTGGGAATATTTTGCTAGTTTTCTTTGATGTTTAATTGAGTATTCAACTCATGGGTTAAGAAGAATACATCAAAGGTTTGTTTGTTCATTCTATACAAAAGAGAGAGTTGTTCTTCGATGGATTCTGAAGAATTTGAGCTTGAAGCTTTGGTGGATTCTGGAATGGCTCATCGTCAAGACAATTCTGAGGTGAAGATGGGGTTGGAAAAGGCACATAGGGGTTGGTTCAATTCGGGCGTGAATTCGCTAGGTAATCGAGAGTATACTTGTGTTATTCCTTTATATCTTTTTAGTGGATTGTTTTGTGGTTTTTGCTTGTGGTTTTTTTTATCACAATTGGAGGTGTCCAATTGTGGTTTTTTCATGTAAAATCATTGTGTCGATTTATCTTGATTGTTTGATTGGGATTGTTGTTTACTGCTTAAAATTGATACATAATCACAAATCAACATCTAGGGGATTTCTAGATTTTTCAGTTTCGATTCAAGCTTTCTTTGATATGGTTGATACAACATTTGCCCATGATTTAATTGAAGGAATCTAGAACTTATCAACTTCCTCATCTTATGCCACGTCCTAAGAGGTTATTTGTATTGTCACCTTCGATCATACTGCAATTGTTTCCACCATGTAGAAACATAACCTTGTAACTTGCGTGTGACATATTTGGCTTAATTTTCTTCAAAGATTTCCATACACTCAAGGAATTTGTCAACTTTGCAAAACCAATAAATAAAATCCTCAGCATGACAAGAAGCATTAAAATAGGGAATTTCTAGTGGTACTTGATAACCTGAAAAGTTATGATTGATGCAATTATTGCTATTGAATAAATCACTAAATCTTCGTTGTTGTCTTACTGACTGGTATTCAACATAATCCTCGAATAACTCATATTCAGATTCGTCATCACTATCGTATTGATAACAAGAAGATCATCTCAAGACATTATAGTTAATAAGTTGGCATTAGGCAAATCTCATAACGCAGTTCCTATTAACGTTGTGACTAACAGGTTGGCCACTACAACAAATTGGTTCTTTAATGACAAAATCACTTCATCTCCAATAGTGAAATTTTCGTCACCAAATTGATCCGTGACGAAATAATTTCGTCACCACGTTCATCATCAATTCGTCGTCACTAAAAGTACCTAATGATGAAAATTTATTTTATCACCTATTATTGGTATTTGGTGACGAAATATTTCGCCACTAAATGTTAAATATTTTGTCACCTATAACGTCCATTTCATCACTAGAATTAAATAAAATTTTATTGTATTTGTTTTTGATGACAAAATATTTCGTCATTAAAAATAGCGATAAAATTTTTAGAGACGAAAATATCGTTACCAAAAGATGGGAAAAAAAGACCCTTCAGTGATGAAAACTTTTGTCGACAAATATTTTAATTTAGTGATGAAATAGTGAATATGTGTGACGAAATTATTTGTTGGGATTAGAAAGTTAGTGTCAATTTTTTTCCGTCGCCAATAATAAATAAATTTTAAAAATTGGGGGGAGGGTTATATGTGCAATTTATATATTTTTTTCAATAAACAATACATGTACATTTTAATAATCTATTAAATAAAATATCTAAAACAAATCAATATAAAATTAAACTGTTCATTATCATAAAACAACCCAAGCAAAATACATGTCTCATAGTATCAAGAAATTAATATATAACATCCAAACTATAACATCTATTCTAGTAAAATCAAAAACTACAACACAATCAAAATAACTTGTGCATTTTAATAACCTGCTGAATATAATATCCATTACAAATCATTACAAAAACCTGTTCATTTGGTAATATCAACAAAAAGATAAGATCCATCACAATATAATTATAACCCACAATAACATAGTCAAAATACATGTTTGGTAATATCAACAAAAAGTACAAATACACTGTGATGGATGTGTCTGGTAATATCAACAAAAAACTCTTGCTATGCAAGTTACCAAATTCGTTCATCTCCAATCTGCCATTTAAAAAAAAAAAGAAAAGACAACAACAACAAAAGGTTAAGGTAACCATTCACTAAATATGTTAATATGCAACCTAGAAGAGAAAAAATAAAAATTTCAAAGCAAATTTTAAACCAAATTTTACCATGCTTGTTCCGTAAATTTTTACAACTTACATTAATTCCTCCCAAGGTGTTCATGATATTTCTCGGCCTTTTAACGACTATTTCAAGATTTTACTTCCTAACGGCCTATTTTCAAGCCTAAATGTTTTCCAACCGAGAGTCCTATGATTGTTCTGTAAGTTTTCACAACTTATGTTGATCCCTTCCAAAGTGTTCATGATAATTTCTGATAATCTCAAGGTGTTTGTGATGTTTTTCAGGCCTTTAGATGCATATTTCACTATTTTCCCGGGACCTTGTGCCTAAATGTCAAAAGTAGTTTTTATTCTACCCTAGTTGAAGAAGAAATGTTCTACTAAATTAACATATAAACATAATCTACTAACCAAGAAGCTTGTCCGTCAGAATCTGAACTTTCCCCACTCTCAAAATTTCCCGTAATACCTTTTTGCGTCAAACACTCTATGATACTTTGTGTCTTCTTGCTTTGTTTCATCTCTAACTTTTGAAACCTTGCAATTTGTTCATTTCTCTGTGCTATTTGCATCTCAAGGCGTTGAACATAGTCATTATTTTTAGCAGGTGCAACAGTAGTCTTCATAGAAGAAGAAGGCCTCTAGTCGAGTCCTTTCACATAACCTGACCTTGGCTTAAGCACATTGACTGACAACTCCTCTGGGCTCAAGAGGATCACACCAGTCTGTGAGAGGTGTTCTGCTTATGTCTGTATCATGTTATCTTGTTAATTTAAAATAAATCGAACAATTATTAGTTATTCTACCCTACAAAGAAAATAAATAATCTTATCAAAATTAATATGCATTGCCTTGTACATACATAATTAACTTGGCTGTCTGACGAAATCCATTCATGCGTGTTCTAATTATAGTGGATGGACTTGTAAATTTTTGCCAAATCAGGCACTCCTCCATTTGCAATTATCTGATTCATTTGTTTTTGAATGTTATTTCAAATATTTAAATAACAAATCCTACTAATCTGATAAAATAAAATAGCAGAACACACCGAGCTGTGCACCCTGACCGGGATTGATTTTGATCCACATCTATGTTTTGTTTTCATTTGCATCCTATTATTCACATTAGTTAGTGATTGTTCCTACACGATTGAAACACCAATAAAAACGACAAAACTTAACATTAGTAAGAAGAAAATTAATTTTTGAAAATTAACATAAAACATTATACCATGAATTCTTTACTATTCCACTTCTTGTCAATTAAAGATGTCCATTGATTAAGAGTAACACTTGCAGGTGGATGGCTTCTTGCGTACTCCTCCCCTCTTGCATCCTTAAGTTGCTTGTATTGTTTGTGCAACCTATAAGTGAAGCTACTCAATTGTCGACCAAACTGTGTGTTTAAAGTCCTTGCTACATCACTCGGATTGCCTTGTAGATCAAACTGATCCTGCAAAATCAAATCATTTTTTTTATAAGTTAAATAACCTAAATTTTATTCACATACACAATTAGACATAGCAGCAACCAACTGTGATACATACATTTTATTTTGTTGGCTTCACTAGTTATATTAGAATTTCATGGAAGCTCTCAAATCTAATTTCACACTGACCAGAAATTCTATATTTAGATGTTCATTTTATTTTATTTTCCTATAAATGTGAAATTTCTCTTTCATTGCTAAAAAGTTAGTAAGTAAACAAATGCAAGTTAGACCTTAAATTGAATATAAACAACTTTGCAAACTTACCAACACTACTAGATGCAGTCACCTCATGCTCAGGTTGCACATTATGTGGTGGTAAGGGTTGGGTACCAACCTCTTGACCTGGGGGATCCATCCCTTCCTCTGGGGTGGGAGTTAATGGCTCCGAATGAGACTGTAAACGAAACCTCGATGGCATCTCTTGTTCCTGATGAAATAACATAATCAAATAGTAAAGAAGATATTTAACACAGCTAAAATATATTTTAAAAAAAATATGATGTTTAAGATATGTGAAGAAGATATTTAAACAGTAAAAGACATGTTGACACACAAATATAAAATAATGTATTTGCGGTAAAAGGAATCCAATGACTCATCATCACTGTCGTTCTCACTCTCTGACGGTTTATACTCATCATCATCATCTACCTCAACCCTAATTCCATTTTCCTTTGCATTTGCACATTTGGGCTGAATGACAGTCATCAAAGAATTTGTAATATTCTTCACTCCAAGATTGTTAATTATCTCATAGTTCTTCTTGATTCGCTTATTTATTTGTTTCTCATATTCTGTTAGCTTCTTAGTTCTCAAATCACCAGGTTTCAACCATTGTTTTTTTCCTTTGACCAGTTTCTACAACTATATAACACCATTCAACTTTAATTGGAAAATATAGACAATATAATTATGAACCATTAAATAAAAGAAGAAAAACATAATCCCAAAATATCCAAAACACCTTAATTGAAAGGTACTTCACGTAAGCTTGTCATACCAAATAGATTAAAAGTTTCTAGCGAACTTGTTGCCAAACCATAATCCAAAAGGTAAGAAATTTAAACCTGGCACATAACAAAAACTCAAAAACATTACTCATCATGATAAGGCAAAGCAGCAGCAGCAGCTGAGGCAGAGCAACAACAGCTCCATAATTCTACAACTATCAAGTTGCTCCATAATTCTAAACAATGGGATCTTTTGATAAGGCAGAGCAGCAGTGTAGCCACAGGCAGAGCAGCAGCAGCCACTATAGTCAGCTGCAGCCAAGGCCAAAGTCCACAGACAGAGCACCAATAGCAGCCAGCTGCAGCCAAGATCATAGTCCGCAGACAGAGCAGCTAATACTACACAGCTCTCTCTATGGTTTAGTTAGACAGTTATAGTCAGGTTTAGTTAAACAGAGTAGATCAAAGTTAATTTGGTTGGGGAAGCAAGCTAATTTGGCTAATTGTATTGTTGGTGGAGGCAGGTTTGGTGAATCAATGGTTGAGCCATGGTTGGCTGCTCATGGTGATCCTTCTAGGTAACATGCGTTTGGTGTTCTTACTCATTTGTTCATAATTTCAATTTTTATACCTTTGATTAATTTTGGGTTCTGCTTTAAATAGGAATTAATAGTGATATGTAATTCAAGTCTCACTAGTCTGAACTATAGAGTTTCTGAAAAATGCATATTTTCATTCTGCATAACAATGACGTAATTCCAATTCCATGGAAATCCATGAAAAATCGCATCTTGAATTAGCAGAACCTAAATACAACATTGAATGGGGACCAACAAGAACAAAGAAACTACAACCAAAGTCCATATAACTCTATTGGCATGAAAGCTATGAACCAACATCTCTATTATAAAGCAAGAACTAACAAGATAGACAACCGTTTAATGATGTCCAGCTTGGGGTTTGCTTTTCATTTGAATCTTATAAGTGGAATTCAACGCTCATTCACATTCTACATGTGAAATAAATTGATAATATTGTCCATTGGTCATATCAATAGTACAGTGGTTTCTTATTTTGCCTCATGCACATAATCCTAAAAATATTAATAGATGCATAATCAACCATATAGTGGTTTGATGGAAAAATATTACTTTTAAAAATACATACAGGTAAACAAATTAATAAAGATGGGGGCATGTTCATGCAAGAGAGAGAGAGAGAGTCTGAAGAAATGGTAACTAACATAAGTTTTGTAATCAAGCTTTTCTAAAATGGAAGCATCAGTTATGGTATTCACATTGGCTACACATTGGTTCATCCGGTGGTTCTCCAAAACACTAGATCACTACACCATTCCATCTCACCCTCTCACCATTCTCCAAAGCACTATTTCACCTGTTTTCTACAATCTAAAAAAACATTACAAACAAACTTTACAAACGCGTGCGCATGCGCACACACACACACACAAACATATATATAAGATCAAATAATTCAAGATTAACTCTAATTCCATAAGAATCGACATACTACACATTCAAATGGACAGGTTTGGATGGGTTTGGGTGGGTTAAAAATAGGTTGGGTTGGGATGGAAGTGCTGGCAGGTGCGGTGGCTATAGGGGTGGTGGGGAATGGCAGTGGTAGAGAAGTGGTTGTGGTAAGGTAAGTGATGGTGGTTGCGTAGTTGGGCTGACTCAAAGAACAAAAAATAAATAAGTTGGGTTAGGTTATCTAATGGATAATTATTAGGTAGTTTAGTACTTACCCACCATGTAAGATTCAACTCTTTTTTTTATTTTATTTTTATTTTATAAAGATTCATTTTAAATAGGTATAAGTAGGTCATGACTCATTTAAATTTCTAGTGAGATTGGTCTGTACTTTCCCTTCTATCTCTCTAGGAGGAATCTAGCATGCACAGTTTACCAAACTAAAAAAAATCAAATTTGTACTTTCTACTACAAGTATAATGTATAACTTCAAAGTCTCATGGAATCTACAAGGCCCAATAAAGGGAAAAATAATATATAATCTAACTTTATTCATTAATATATCAAATTCAGGTACTGTTTCTTTCAAAGTGGAAGTGGTCTGAATGGTTCTGAACCCCTAAATGATTGAAAACTTTACATCTTGTAAGAACAAACTCATGAAACCTAGAGATTCATATCTTTCTAGAAACTGATTTATATTGATTTCCTTGTTGAGAAACCAAATTGTGAATATTTTTATTTTTTTCAAAAAAGGCATGTCCATTAGAAATATAATGAATCAATTATGTCTCACATGAATGGACAGTACTTGTTCCAAGTTATATGAATCATATTGAGACCCAATGATGTTTTTAACTAAAGATGAAATATAGCATTTTAAGTTAGTGACATATTGGCTAAGCTCCAAACATTGTATACAACATACATACATATAAATACCCCTAAGTGAAGGGGGAGGAGGATGTAGCTCATGAGACTCAAATCACCAAGCTAAGCCTTGTAATGGAGAAGACATTTTGATAATGGTAATTTTTCTAAATTTAATAAAATAATAGTAGTCCAAAAGCATAAAGTAGGCAACAAATTAATCAGCGTTTTAGTGGGTCATGTAAGAGTTCTTAACTAAGTTCAGAAATTAAGTACCAAAATTCAAATAAAATGGTTCAATGGAAAATAAATTCAAGCTTATTTACAGAAAATAAGCAAACAATGGTTCAATGGAAGTTGCGTAAATGCTCAAATTCCACAACCCCAATACACAATCTTCTTCTCTCGACACAAATTCAGTCCTTAGGCCTATTTTCAAGAGGTAAGATCAGATTAACATGAACAAAGAAGCAAACACACTAACAAGCAAGGCAAACCCAGAATTGGTAATATTGCACCAATTGAATATTTGGCTTTCACAAGCCCCTAATAGCACAAATCAACCCAACAAGAAGAAAATCAAGACATGTGCATCCAAAAGAATAGTTATAAAACCCTAATAAAAAATAGAAAACATAGATATGACAGAGCCAAACAAATATTCGGAGATAATGAAATTCGAGTATCAAATCAGAAATTGAGAAAGGGTTTGTAAAGCACGGGGCATTTTTGGGAATTTTGAAGAGGAAATTTAAAAAATGGAGTGATTGTGAAAGAGATAGAGAGAGAGAGAGAGAGGGAGGGAGAGGGAGCGGGGAATCCGAACATACCTCAAGAATGGAACCATCAATCGTCGCTGCCGCCGAATGGAGAGCACCGTTCGAAGTCGAAGTTTTGCGCCGCATGAACCAGTCTTTCCTTTAAACCCTCTCTCTTCTCCCTCTCTTCTACTAGGTTTTGCAGCTTACAAATTCTATGTTCAGAAGCCAAACGAAAAAAATTAGTAAGCTATTTTGGGTTTTCTTTTGCCGCTCAATTTTCCATCCGAAATTGGTGACAAAATTATTTCCTCACCAAAAAATAAAATTATTGACAAGGGAGCTAGTTTTCTCACTAAATGATATAAAAATATTAAAAATTATTAGTAACGAAAATCTATTCGTCATTAATAATTTTAGAATTGGTGACCAATTTTTTCCTTGCCAAAAGTCTCAAAATTTTGGCACCATCCAAAAAAAAAAAATAGTAGAAAAATCTTCAGTGACAAAAAATAAATAAAATAATGACGAAAAATAATTTCGTCACCTAATTTTTTTTATTATATATGTAGATTGGTGTCAAAATTTTATTTTTCTCTCTAAAAATGGTACATTTGGAGACGAAATATTATTTTCTTCACTAAAAGGTACGTCTTTCGTGACAAAATTTATTTTCGTCATTAGTTTTTGTCTCCAAAGGCTATTTTTGTTGTAGTGGACCTTGGGCAAGTGCCTTGACTCGAATCCTATTAGATCTTTCTCTACGATCATCGTCAATAGAGCTTGTGCTTCATCTTTTGATGAATGATATCGAGCCAGGAGAAACGTAGCTTTGATACCACTTGATGCAGTGGAATATACGGGGACTAGATATCGTTCTAGTAGACGAAAAGGGCTCTTGAATCCACAAGAAAAATAGAACCTTGAATCCACAAGGAAGAGAAAATATCTTAATATTATTGATTGAATAAATAAAAGTTGTCTTTGCCATGAGGCTTACATAGCTATTTATAATAAACTAAACCGAATACTTGTAGGAAAAGTAATTCTAAAATAAACTAGGAAACTTAAATCAACACAAATTAGGAAACCTTAGAGAATAGGAAACTAGAATTCTAAACTATTTAAAATCTTAGTCAAAATCTAATTCCAAAATAATAAAGTTAAGAAACCTAATAATTCTAAATTATTTATACTAAATTACAAGAATCCTAATAAAATAATATATCAAAAATATTAAAACTAAAAATATAAAAATTCTTAAAATCTTGTCCTACACCACAATTTTGACTAAAATCATTTTAGACCTTAAAACCCTCTTTTTCAAAATAATTTTCCCAAAAGTTTATACGATATTCCGAGGCTCGCATTTCGTTAAAAATTGCACTTTTCGGTAAACCGAGCAAGGACAAAGTGGAAATAAATGGAAGAGAGGTGAACTCATTGAAAAATGCTTTTAATCCTCTTATTTAGAGGTTTGGAGTTGAAGAAAATTGGAGGAGAGGGAAGAAACCTGGTTGGGGAAGAAGTTTGGCATAAATCGTTAAGAGAGAACTGGGCAGTCTTCACTAAATCAGGTCTATCCTTTAGCACACTTGGACTTAAGTTGTGAGACCACCACCGTTGGAAAGTGGACTTCTAGGGCTTTATTTTACACTCAAGAATCTCCTAAAGCTGAGCCTGGATGAGAGAGATATGGCTAGTTGAAGTTAGGCATCCATCCAATTAAGCCAAAACTGAGCAACCTTCACTAAAATATGCATATCTCTTAGCACACTTAGAATTTTAATGTGAGGATGCCACCATTGGAAAGAAGACTTTCGGGACTTCAATTTAGACTTAAGAATTACCTATAAAGGAATCCGGAGGAAGGAGATATGCCCATTTGACGTTGGATTTGGAGAGTAGATTTTTCTAGCCGGCCACTGGTGGAGTTTGCTGGCCATAAATGGGCTTTGTCGGCCATGTGTCAGCCATGAATGGCTTTTTTCGGCCATAAGTCATCCAAGGGTGACTTTTTTCGGCCACCAGTGGTGGCCGGTCGGCTACTGGTGTCAAAAGTCAGTTTTTGTGCATATATTTTCCCTCCAGCTGTTCCACACTGCTTCAGCTGTCCTATATTGATATTTTTGACTTTAGCACTTATTTTTCCATAAATAGAGGACCTTCTCTATTGTTTTCAAGGTTAGAAAACATTAGGAGTGAAGAAATATTTTGAAAAATATCCTCTCTCTCTACAATCCTCTCTCTCTACAATTCTTTCTCCCTTTTGCAACTTGCATAGCCTATGCCCAAACACACCAAACCAAACCTAGAGAGCTTCTTGCTGAGGTGATTTGAGCTTGGATTTGAGCTCTTGAAGCACTTGACAGTGTGAAATTGGTTGGTTTGTGAACAAAAGGGTTCATTCGTCTCCAAGAGCAAGGAAGTTCAAACCAGCAGTGGCCGACAACCACCACCATTGGCCAACCGGCCACCATTGGTAGCCAACCGGCCCCTTGTCGGCCACCAATGAAATTTGTACAATGTGTTGGTAAGGTGGGGTAGAGATGTTCTGGAAGTGGGAAGCATTTTTAGTGACCAAATGTGCAAACAGAGGCATTCAGCATCAAGGCAGTGGCTTTTTGGGTGAAAAATCGAGCATGCATACATCCTTCGCTTCCCAGGATTAGCTAATTAGTTTAATTAGAAATAGCTTAAACACGTGATGTAATTAATTAGTTGTAGCTAATTAAGTGTTGTACATAATTAGTTAGTTTAACTAGTTATTCGATTTTGGTTTGTAATAATTAATTAGTTTAGAATAGTTAATTAGTTCCGTTTGTAATAATTTGCTTAATTAGTGTAGCTAGTTAGCTTATTCATTCGGACCCTCCTACGTAAGAGCGTAATGTTGTGATAAGTGTGCGTGGGTGTGTGTATGTCTTCCAACCCCACGTCTTTCTCCTTTTTATTTAATCGCTTTTGATGGTTAAATTAGGGACATTTTCAATTAGCATACCTTATGCTTGCATGTTTGCATCCATTCATTTGTCTTGCATGCATCGAGGCTCGGCGCATCATTCAAACCGCATTGTCATTTCAAAACCTTATTTGAATATGTGTTTAATCACATGTTATCAAATTGATCCCCATGCCATATTAGTAGCCGAGCCTATTAATTGCATATTGCATGTGTTGCATTAGGCATCTTGTATAGTTAGGAATCATGCATTATTTCCTAACTTGTTTCTTTCCTAGCTTAGAGTACTAGGTGAGTTTTATGCTTTACCATACTAGCATAAGTGTGAATGTTGCCATGTTTATCATGCTTGCCATGAGACTATGTGCTTAAATGCTAAACTGCATAAATGCCTGTGGATGAAGGCTTGCTATTTGAATTGGAACAATTCAACAAATGTGTGTTTTAAGCCCACTTCGTTGAATGGAAAATCATGTTTTAAGCCCACTATGTTTGGTAGCAAATCCGCAATCTTTAAGTCTACTTGAGGTGGCAAATTCAAACTATTTTTGCAAGCAAACATGAGTTGAATTGTTTCAAATTGAGCAAACTAGTCTATACTTACTTGTGTGTATCACATAGTAATGCTAGTTTAATAACCGAAACAAGAGCACATAATGTTTATAAAAAATCATATCATGATTAGTAGAAGCCGATCTTTGATCGGGCGAGCAAGGGTGCTCAATTCATGACCATCCCCCTTCGTACCTAAGTTCCCGAGCTGAGACAACTTTGGTGATGACGGACCCGTGGCCTTCAGCACGAGTCAAGGTTTCCTAAATTTTTCCAAAATAAAAAATATTTAGGTAGCGACTCTCTATCTGGCAAAGTAGTCTAATTTTGGCACTTTTTTATTCAAAATCAATTTTTCAAAGCGATTTGCCCGATTTGGACTCTTTTGTGTTTATCAATTTCACATTGTACTTGTGAGATTAGATTTAGAATCGCAGGAGTCCAAACTGTGAGGCCCTTTCTTTTCAAACCTTTCCGAAAGGCGGGGCGCGAGAAAAAGGCGAGTCCACAATACCGAAGCAACAGAAATTACAAACAATAGAAGAGAGAACGTTCATTTCAGTGCAAATTAGGTGATGCTGTCACCCATTTAAATAGATAGCAAGTAGTAGTACACAAGTGAAAACAAAAATAAGAAAAGATGAGAATTACCCTAATGAGCCTGTATTTTGCTTCGTATTTCTTTGCATTCTCAACAGAATCATAAATCAAACCAAAACCAGTAGATTTGCCTCCTCCAAAATGGGTCCGGAACTTGAAAAACAGAGATGGCATTTGGGTCTTTCACCTCATACATCCTAGACAATTTTCCTTCAGCTCCGCCTTCAATTAAAAAAAGAAAAAAGAAAACCCAAAAGGAAAAAATGTAGAACGGCCAATCAAAAAATAATATGTAGAACCAAACAAAGTAAATCTACCAGAAATAGAATACAACCTGAAAATGTGCATTAATAGGTAATGGCTATACAAGAACACATTAAATTAAATAAATAAACAACACCAGAATAGCAATAGTTGATTAACACATTACACTTTCATAACTTTGGTAAACAAATGACCTCCCAGTAAAACAAACCCATGATTTTGTTTTTCAAGAATAATCAATCAATAATACAAAAGGTTAAACTAGATCACTAAGTTGTGAATAAACCACACATATACAGCAATAACAACATTATAGCAAACAAAATAGATAGAAAAACATGTTCTACAAAACCATGAGATGTTGGAGAGAAATCAAAAAAGGAAAAAGAACAAACCTTGGAAACATTTGGTCTTCCTGGATGTAGAACGTCAATGATTTTAATCAAATTAATTAAAACAAAATAAAAAATTTCCTAATTCAAGTAAAGAAAGCACTATCAAAATAAAAAAATTTTATGAGAAGCGGAAAGATCATTCACTGTTCTTGATGATTTGCTGCCTGGCCAAGAACCTCGTGACAGGTGGCGTGAAGACTGACTGAGAGTTGAAGAGAGACACACTACACCGTCGTCGCTTGCTGCTCGATGCCATCTCACGTTGTTAGCTACTATCGCTCGACGCCGTCGATTCAATGCTCGCCGTCGTTTGCCTCTGCTTACAGTCGAGAGAGAGAGAGAGATAGAGAGAGAGAGAGAGAGAGAGAGTCGTAAGAAGAGATGGGGATTTTTGATAGGGTTTTTGGCTAAAAGGTTAGGGATTTTTGGTATTGGGGATTTTTGGTTGAAGGGGAAAAACGAGTCCGAAAGGGGAAAAAAAGCTGAGCACAAGATTTTAGGGTTCTTTTTTTTTTTTTTTTGCGACGTCAAGTTTCATGCTATCGCAAAAAATATCTTTATTTGTGACAGCAAGGGTTGCCGTCGCAAAAAACGCATATTATTTGCGACTGCAGTTGTTGCCGTCGCAAAAATGTGTTTTTTTGTGACAAGAAGTGGTGCCATCGCTGAACCCGATTTATTGGCGACAGCAAGTGGTATCGTTGCAAAAACTCACTTTTTGCGACGGTAAGTGGTGTCGTCACAAATGCTTTCGTGTTATATGCCCCCATTTCTTGTAGTGTCTCTAGCATTTTTGGTCTATCACCCAATGAGTAGTTATTTCTAACTATCATATAATATTATTTACATGATATCCTAAATAAATTATGTAAAAAGAAAAATTTGTTGATTCACTTTCATTAGTTAGCTAAGAGACAAGCGATTATCCACTTTATGCATATTATAATTTCTTATTTGTCGAATATATTATATAGATAATATAGTAATACAAGAATAGCTAATAATTTTCCAACCCACCTTCTTGTGTTGAGTCCTTGTGGCTAACTAGTTTGATGACATCTTGAATGAACAATCTCATGTTCAAGTATGAAGAACCCCCTTCTTCCATTGCCTTCTTTGCCATCTCCCCAAATACTTTTGCCCTTCGTCTTGTCTCTTCTCCTATTCCTTCACTCATTACTTTCTCCACAGCAGCCCTAACAACCTCTCTATCCACCAACTTCTCACACTTGTCTTCCGCAAACCTGTGCCCAACTGTCTGAACGCCAACACTCACTCCGATCTCCAAAAGCTGCACAGCTAGCTTCTCATTCAAAAACTGCTCACCGAACATAGGCCACGTTATCATCGGCACACTGGCACACACCCCTTCCAGCGTCGAATTCCACCCGCAGTGTGTCAAAAAAGCCCCCACAGCCAGGTGCGACAATATGAGTATTTGCGGTGCCCAGCCTCGAATCAGAAGCCCTCTCCCTTTCGTTCTTTCCTCGAATCCGTCTTCTTCCACCCACTTCTCTATCTCTGTCGCCTTGTCTCTGCTTCTTATAACCCACACAAATGGGCGTTTCGAAGCCTCCAAGCCTAAACCTAGCTCGATTAACTGAGGTAGTGAGAGGTTAGCTATGCTTCCAAGGCATGCGTAGACAACGGAGCGTGGCTCTTGCTCATCGAGCCACTTTAAACATTGGTTTTCGTCGATGTCGGCCTTGTTTCCTCTCTGAGCCTTATCCAAGTTGTCTTTGTTGCACAACGACAGCGGCCCAACGCACCAAACTTTATCTCCTTTCACCTTTCGAAACTCGTCGACATATCTCGGTTCTAGCTCTTCAAAACTGTTAATCACCACCCCATATGCTTCAGCTTCGGCAGCTTTTATTCGATTCCGTAAATCTTGCCATTCTGGTGAACTTCGATTGAGAAACATAGCCAACTGAGCTTTAGTTAGCTCAATTCTATCAGGCAAGCCAGGAAGTTCGAGCGGCTCTGAGTCTGACTCGGAAACATTCTCAGAATCTTTAAAATTTTCTAAATTGTGTGCGCATAAGAGAGTGAGGCAGTTCATTCCATCAAAAAGAATTCTCGGAATTCCAAACTTACGAACAGTGTCTCCTATCCATGCAATATATTTATCGGCTATTAAGCAACTGGGACATGGCTCGAGCGTTTCAAACAACTGCTCGAATGGTTGTTGCAACATGTCGATGCCCTTGAAGAATTTCATCATTAGGTCTAGAGAGTGAACAGCGTCTATAGTTTCGCACCCCTCCAACAGGCCGACCTCCACTGACGGGAACCGGAGAGAGAGAAGGCGGAGGGGGAGGCCCGATTCGATCACACGGTCGATGATGGGGCGGAACCTGGAGGCAATGACAGGAGTGGTGACGACAGTGACAGTCACGCCTTGTTGTGCCAATAATTTGGCCAAGTCAATCATGGGCATGAAGTGGCCTGGGGCCATAAAAGGTACTAAAATGAAGTGAAGCTGGTGGTGGTTCTGTAAAGCCATTGGAGCTTGGGGGATTGGGGGTGGATGGATTGGCTATATATGTAGAATTTATACAGCTTTGTCCCAAAATTGGGTTTAAAAAAACAAAACAAAGACCTTATTTAGCGGTGACTCTTATACGAAACTCTTAGGTAGTGTTTGGTAGAATTTTGTAAATGTAATTTGAGAGTATGAGTTGTATTTTGAGTTTGTGTGTTAGAAAATTTGTTTGGTAAAGAGTTTTGATTTGAGTGAAAAATTGTTGATGTGACATTTGATATTTGATATAAAAATTTACAACTCATAACTAAACATACAACTCAAAATTATTTTAAAGCACATAAAAAATTTTAAAAATTTTAAAAAATATTTTTTTCGATTATATAAAAATTAACATATCACTTGCAAAAAAAAAAAATAAAAAAAAAAATCACTATTCCGGTCAACTGGCCGGACGTCCCGTTAGAGGTAATCCTTCACGCCTTGCGCCCCCTTCTGGAGTTAGTCCGTCGACGGCGGACTGCGGCAAGTCTTCAATGTGTGGCATTGAATGAGAAAAGGAGAAGCTTAGTCAAGAGGTTTTTGTTCTTGTCTGTTCTTCCCACAGACGGCGCCAATTGTACGGGGAGGAAATAATTCTCCTCGTATAATCCTGTTGACAAAGTCCACGCTCCTCCGTACGACGTCGCTTTGTCACCTGACTTTTCAATTATGACACATTTGATCCTGAATTTTGAATCTTGTTCCAAATAAGGACAATTAAAGATATCATTAGATTTTTCAAGGGTAAAATCATCAATTTGATAAAATATAAATTAATTTGACAAAAATAAATGTCAAACAAATATTTTTGAATTTTTAAAAATTATTTCTACCCACTAAAAATAAAATTATGTAAAATTGATAAATTGTTTAGACATTTAATTTTAAAAAATTAATCATGTAATTTTTATCAATTTTACATAATTTCATCATTGGTGGAAAAAAATAATTTTAAAAAAATTAAAAATATTTTTTTGACATTTATTTTTGTCAAATTAGTTTATATTTTATTAAATTGACGATTTTGCCCTTGAAATTAAACAATGATATCTTCAATTATCCTTATTTGGAACAAGATTCAAAATTTAGGATCAAATGTGTCACAATTGAAAAGTTAGAAATCAAAGTGACATAAGTCCCAAACTATAACAACTATTTGTATAATTTGCCCTATAAAAAATTATCCACCATCAGTGGCCGCCGGCAAGAAGTTTTTAAAGATCCCCAACACAACAACCAACCAATAACCAGAAAGACGATCAAATTCTGGGACTATTAGGACCAGACTGAAAACTAATTTGCGGAGACAAACATGGCTATAATGACTGATATAAGATTTGAGTTTTACGCTGTTGGAGAATTTAGAAAGGAATTTAGAAAAAGAGAAAAAAAAAATAAATGAAATGTGAATAAAATATACTTATATTTCACATAGTTTTACATACATTTTTTTTTTTGTTTTCAAATCCCTTCCCAATTCCCAACCAAACGCCGAGTGAGGGGGGTAAAAATACATATAACTTTTTATCGAAAAAAATTATTATAAAATTTTAAATTTTTATTCATGCAAGTACAAAAAAAAAATGAATAATATTACTATTAATCAGACATTCTTGGTCAACATAATTGATAACAAAAATGTGATTAGACATATTTTTTGTCTGCATTAACTTAACAAAATATTAACTATTACCCTGTTCTCGTCTAGTAAAATTAACTATCTGAAAATATGTAATCGCCATTTTTTATAATATATATATAAAAATATCTATGATAAACTCAATATCAAAACCTTAATTAATATCATTCTCAATAAATATGATCAAGTAACTTGTTACAAAATCATCTTCCATTTTATTACGTAGTTTAGTTTCAAAAAAAAATTATAATTGAAAATAAATGTTTTTATGAGTATAATGATTCCGTTTCAATAAGCGAAATTAAATTTTATTAACTTATTTTAAGAATGTTATTTTAAAGTAGACAATATTTTTGTTTACAGAAAATATTCCTATTTTTAGAAGATGAACAAACAAGAATGAATGCAAAATAAGATGCATAAGTAAATTAAAGTAAGATTTATAAAAGAAAATCAAAAAACAAATGATATATGAATAGAAAATAAGAATAATAAGAAATAGAAACAAAAAAAAAATATAAGTAACTTTAAACAATATAGAAATATAAATAATATAGATAACAAATAAAATAGATCAATATTTGATAAAACTCAATTTAAAAATTATTTTTAAAATTTTATAATGTAAATAATTTGGAGGGTGCGAAACTAGTGAAATTTTGGGATGCCAAGTGATCCAATTTGAAATTATCTTACTAATTATTAATATAATATGTATAATTTTTAAAAATGTTGGGAGTGCGACCATCCCTGCCCACAACCCCCTAGATCCATCCTTGGCTATAATTGCACTGAAGGTGGTGGTAAAGAAATTGGGTTCCCTCCTAGCAGCAGAAGCTCAATTACTTGGTGGAGTTAGCAGGGGAGTCACTGAATTGTGAGATGATTTGGAGAGCATGAGATCTTTCTTAGAGGATGCCGAAGTAAGACGTGAATCTGATAAAGGAGTCCAAACTTGAGTGAAGCAAGTCAGAGACGTGGCCTATGACACCGAGGATAGGCTTGCAGAGCTCCTTCTCCGGTTGGCACCGCTAGAGGGCAGTGGTTTCTTTCACTCCCTCCGCAAAGGCTACCACTACCCGTACGTGGCAATTGATAGCACGACACCGCTTGGCGGTTCAGGTAGAGGATGTGAAGCAGAAGGTTAAGGCCATTTTAGAAAGACGAAATGCATTTTCAATCAGAAGGGTAGAGGAAGCACCAAGTTCAACTGCTACCTCGTAGTTGTAGACGTGGCATGATCCTCGATTGGCTTCTCTTTTCCAAGATGAGGCTGATGTTGTGGGAATTGACAAGCACAAGAGCTTATTAATTTCTTGGCTAGTAAGCGGAAAGTAGAATCTGACCGCCATCTCTGTCGTGGGGAAGGGTGGTGTAGGCAAAACAACCTTGGTGAAGCAAGTTTATGATAGTCAAGCTGTTAAGAATTACTTCAACCACCATGCTTGGATAATGGTGTCGCAATCATTCACGGCAGCAAAGCTTCTATGTGCTGTCCTGAAAGACTTCTTGGAGGAGACAAAAGAGCCAATTCCTGAAGGAATAGATACAATGGGCGAAATACAATTGATCAACATGCTCAGGGACCATCTACAACAAAAGAGGTATGTTATTGTGTTTGATGATGTATGGAGCATAAATGCTTCGGTAGTAGTTAAATTTGCATTACCCGATTGTTGTTGTGGGAGTAGGATCGTTTTCACAACACAAATAGGTGATGTAGCTACATCTACAGAAACAACTAGTCATGTTTACCAGCTCCAACCTCTACCGGAGGAAGAGGCTTGGATGCCCTTTTGTATGAAAGCTTTTCAAGGGGAAAACAATTTGCCCAAAAGAATTGGAAGAGATGTCTTGTAATATCTTGAAGAAGTGTGGGGGACTGCCTCTAGCAATTGTAGCAATAGGTTGCCTTTTGCCTAGGAAGAATAAACATTTGTTGGAACAGAAGAAAGTTCGTGACAACCTTTCTGTAGAGGTCAAAAGAAATTCCAGTCTTGAAAGAATACTAATGCTTAGCTACATTGACTTACCATACCACCTCAAATATTGCTTCTCGTATTTGAATGCTTTCCCGGAGGATTGTTTGATCAGAAAGACGAAACTTACCCAACTATGGGTGGTCAAAAGATTTGTAGAAGAGATACCAGTACACACCACAGAAGAGGCTACAGAGAAGTACCTAAACGAGCTTGTCAGTAGAAGTACGGTTCAAGTAGTAGAAAAGGATTACTCCAATCGAGATAGGACTTGTCGTGTACATGATATTATCAGAGACATTATCCAGTCGAAATCTAGGGATGAATCATTGCTTATGATATTGAATGATATGAGGATGTCATTGGATGAGAAGATTCAACGAATGTTAATCCATGATAGTTGTAAGGAGCTCCCATTAACCATGAGATTCACTAGCCTCAGATCTCTTTTGGTGTTAGTGTCAATCGATACTTCAAAGTCTTGAAGAATGACATTCTTTAAAGATTTCAGAATGTTAGGAGTGTTGGAGCTTGAACGTGCACCGCTTAATAAATTTCCTCCAGAGCTAGTCGAGATGATTCATTTGAGCTACGTAAGTCTTAAGGAAGACAATGATAATTAAGATCCCAGAGTCCATTGGGAAGCTCAAGAAATTAGAAATACTGGATCTCAGACAATGTCTTGCAATCCAATCACCCCTGCCTAATGGGATCTTAAAGTTAAAACATCTGTCAGTTGCGAGGCTATTACTAACCTTCCAAACCAATTCCATTGTTTAGCAATACATACGCAATGAAGCTTCCAACAAAGATAGGGAGACTGACAAATCTACAAAATTAGGAAATGTTGATATAAGTGGTGTTGGTGATATGGTGAGAGACTATGAAGCACTGACACTTCAAAACAAGCGCCATATCCGTGTCGGACGCGTGGACACTTGTAGACACTTTGAGGACACGTATGAGATACACCGCATGGCGTGTTCCCTTATTTAATTAATTTATTTTCAAGAAACATACCGAGGACACGTTAAAAACATGCCAAGTTGTCTTTTCTCTTATTTTATTTAGTGCTTTTGATGAATGTTGAATATTTATTATTTTTTTCTTAGATTTAAATACTTAATAGATCATCTATAGAAAAAATATATATAAACTATAAGTGTTAATTTAAAAGTAATTTTTTTAAATAAAAAAATAGAATTAGAGTTAGTTTTTGTTAATATTGATTATTGGTGGATGTAATATTAATGTAGATAGCAAATAAAAATATATGAAAACATAGTTTATTGCCGTGTCCTCTCACGTGTCCGTGTCTTCATTTTTTTGTAATCGCTGTGTCCCGTATCCGCATCCATTTCCGTGTTTATATCTGCATCCGTATCCATATCCGTATATGTGCTTCTTAGGTGAGAGAATCGGGAAAGCTAACCCAACTAAGGAAGTTGCGCATCACACATCTAACACAAGAAAACATGGCGGATCTATGTTCTTCTCTAGGGAAATGGAAGCATCTCACTACATTATACATAAAAGGCACACTCTACAATGAACCACTTCATCTTAATTCTCTATCTTCTTGTCCACAATTTCTACAAAACCTGCATTTGAATTGTCGTTTAGCGACTTTGCCTAAATGGATCGCTTCCCTCAAGTACCTTACCAAGTTAGTGCTTCAGGAATCTTATCTGAATGATGACCCACTGAAGTTGCTTCAAGGATTGCCCAACTTGGGATTGCTTAAACTCCGATATGCTTATGAAGGGGAGGAACTGCGCTGCAATGTTGGAGGATACCCAAGGCTTAAAAAACTTGAGCTTGAAGAAAGAACTAAGGCAATTGAAGAGCATAAGAGTGAAGGCAGGAGCAAAGCCTGTGTTCAGGGAACTATATATCAAATTATGTGAGAAATTAGAAATGGTGCCATTGGGCTTTGAGCACCTCAGAAATCTACAACATCTAATACTGTATTTGGTTGGGGAATTTAGGGAGAGATTTAAAAATAAAAAAGGGAAAATGTGTGTGAAATGTCAAGTACAGACATGAAGGATTCTTCCAAAAAAAAAAGCAACCACATGGCAAAGATTTCTGGAAGGTTCTACATATTACAACAATCGAAGCCATTGATAAACCTTGGCTTATGAAGAGATGGGGTTTCCAGGACTCAATCTCAGACTGATGAATATGATTTGAACCAAAAGGTGTTTTTTCCGTTGCACCAACCATGTTACTCTTGTGTTATATGCATACTTTCAATTGATAAACGTGTAAACCAAATTGAAGTGCTCTAGCTGAAAGTGTTGAACCTTGGTCTTCTTCTTCTTTTCTTTCCTTTTTTCCCATTTAATAAAACAAGCAAAGCTTAATCGTTATTGAGCTTAGCTTGATTTAGATTGCAAGCAAAAGTGTATTCTGCATAATAAAGTTGTATTTCAAACAATCTAAGCTGTTCTTTGTTTCATTCTATATATTATACAACTTACCAGTTAAAACAAAATAATTATAGGAATCACTAAGTGAGAAATGGTAACACTTTGTGTTAAATTTTTGGGTATTATTAGTAATTAAATTTCACAAAATTAAGTTTAGCTGAGCCAAAGTGAAACATGAAAGGGTGGAATTAAAGAAATAATGAATTTACGAGATGATAGAGATAACACATCTATTGAAGATCAAATAAATAAAAATTAACACCAAGGGGTGGACCGATGGTCCATGGCTCTCTTGTTAAGCAAAAGGTTACAAGTCCCATTTCCTACTTCCTCTTAAGGCATTTTTAAGATTTATGTCCAGTAATTATCTGATATATGTGTAAAATAGAGACTACATGTTACCCAAAAAACTAAATAAATAAATAAAGAATAAAGCTTGAGACCCCTACCCCCAGTGACCCCAGTGCCACATGGCACCGCGTGATTGGAAGGAAAGAAAAAAAAAATTGTTTTTGGCCTACTAGGGGTTCTGGGGGTCCCCAATGTTCATGTGCGATAAAAACCAATAATTGCACTAGCTAGAAATTTAAGAGTAACATTATCAATATAGCAAATAATGTTAATTGAGACAGACTAAAATAGACATAGTTTGAGATTCTAAATAAATAATATAAAAAAATTAAGCAATGATTTGATGGGTTGAGTTCAGTTGAATTAGGATAATTGTTCATATCAAGCCATTTAGCTAATTCTTACAAGTTTCATTTTGTTAGACTTTTTGAATTCATCATAATCACTATGCACATATAAGGTATTAATCATTAATGCAGAAAATAACTTTAGTTCTATTGTGCAATTAAAGTGTAACTCAAATAAATAAATATATATGTATATATTTAAATAATTTACTTTAATTATGTATGTGTATGTCGACATATATATAATTTTGAAAAGTATGTTGTAGACATAGGTATTGTTTGATAAAGTTGAAAATTGAAAATTGAAAATTAAAAATTAAGTATTGGAAACTAAATGTTAGCGTTTGGTAACGTTTACGTTTTTTATTTATGTTTACAAAAATTTTATAAACTGATTTTTATTTATTTTTAGAAAAACATAAATTACAAACTCGTTTGGTTTGAACAAAATATTTGAAAAATTTTAAAAACATAAACTAAAAAATACGTTTGTTCAGAACTAAAATATTTATATTTATTTTTCATTATTTATGACAATGGGATCATACACATTATAATTGAAAAAAAAAATTTAATTGAAAAAAAAAATTTGTTAGTCAAATTTTTAAATTTCTATTTAAAAACCAATGTAAAGTTATTTTTTGAGTTTACGTTTTTTTCTCAAATTTACAAACTGAGACAACTATTTATAAACCAAAAAATTTATCAAACAAGTTTTGGTGACAGTTTTTAAAATTTTTGAAAACTGAAAACGAAATGGTTACTAATTTTTTAAATTGAAAAGCTGTTTGATAAAAATTTAAGTGTTGAACTAAAAATAAATTATTTGATATGTACAAAATCAAATTTAAAATTTATTATTTTCAAATTGTATATTTCAATTTTTATATTGTGATGATGGTAGTGGTAGTGGTAGTGGTAGTGGCAGTGGTTGCAGTAACATTAATGGTGGTGGTGGTGGTGGTAGTGGTGGTAACAAAAACGATGTAGTAATAGTAAAATGATGGTGGTATTTATGGCAACAATAGTAATGGTGATGAAGGTGGAGGTGGCTGTGGCGACGGCATGATGGTGATGGTGGTGATGTTAGTGGCGGCGGCGGCAGTAGAGGTAGTGATGGTAGTAGTGGCGGCGGTGGCATGATGGTGATGATTGTGATGAATTTGTAATAGTGTATAGTGATATTTATATTTAATATTTATAAATTGAATCAGAATTAAGTAAGTTTCATATAATTTAAAAAAATTTAAAATTTTAACCTATATTTTAAGAAATGCTTAAATTTTTAAGTGACATTAATTATAATTATCAAACGAACTTAAATGATTATCAACCTACTTTACAATTAAGGTATAATAATAATGTTAACCGGATATCACTGACACACATAAATATCCACTTAAAATAATTCTTCTAATATTTATAAAATATATATATATATATATATATTAGCGTATACCCGTGCTTGAAGGCACGGTGTAAAAAATATTAAGATTAAAATATAATTGTAATTCCAACACTATTTAAATTTATATTTTAATTTGATAAAATCACAAATTTATTATAAAATTTTGGAGTTCTTACAAAATTGCTCACGAAAACTCGTTTTTGCTTATATAATACATAACTAGATAGATAAATGTGCCTGGCGTACATACAATTTCCACGGGCATACATACAATATTGCTTTTGCTTATATAATTATATGAAAATTGTATGTATGCCCATAATGTCCTAGTGTATTACGGGCATACATACATTGTATGGAAATATGTGTAAAATATATTGAACAAAAAGTAGAAAATAAAAAAATAAACAAATAGAGAGAAATAAAAACGGGAGAAAATAAATAAAATAAAAAGAAAAGAGAGAGGAATGTGGGATGATGAGATCATGGAATAATGGGTGAGAAAAGGAAAAAGCAAGAGAGAGAAGTGGGAAAATAGAAAATGTATATGTAGGATATTTTTTGAGGAAATATATCTCAGCCATTATTTTATAATTTGAACAGATTTGAGCCATACAAATGTCCTGATAGGATAAAAATATGTTGAAGATTCAAAAATCATACTGGTTTATTAAAATATGTTGAAGATTCATATAAGATCTAAATTTATGAAGTGTATCAGGTATCCATTATATTTAAAAATAATAATTAATTGTTCAAATTCATTTAATTTGTGAACTACAAAATTCATTAATTTAATCTCCACTACACATAGTAAAATCTGGCTCCTAATTCAAGGATCGTAAACTTTTCCATATAATATGAATAAAAATAAGTGAATAAAAATGAGAAAATAAAAAAAATAAACAAATAGAGAGAAAAATAAAAATAGGAGAAAATAAAAAAAT